AATCTGGTTGGTTTGTTTGTTTTTGGAAATGAGCATTCAGAATTTAACACATTTTTTGTTCTTTTATATATTCATGATCTCCTTAAAGGAACACTAAGTACCGTAGCTACTACAGCTCACAACCCACCCCCCATGTAAGTAGTCAGACCATTTGCTAATAGTTTGAGTTCTTATCTGAGTCCGCCGTGCTCCCCACCGTATCTCCTGTGCAGCAGGTCAAAAAAACTGGAAGAAGTTCAGGACCTTTTTTTCACCCCCTGCTTAGCTTAGCTGAGCTTCTGTCTGCAGAAAAGACAGGGAATGGTGCTCTCAGCTAAGGAGAAGTGGCCAGCCACAGACAGAGCAGCGTTGTGTGGGAGAAAACATAAGTTAACTTACGTTTTAAATCTTGCAGGGGGCGGTCACCTAAACAGTGACTAGGACAATATATCATTAAGGAATGCTACCACTCACATAACAACTTTAGCTCATTGCACTTGTTATGGGGCAGAAGTGCTTTTTCACGCCAACTTACTTTCCACAGTTTATCCCCAAAGTTGAGGCTCCAGGACCTGACACAGCTGCCCTCCTCAATACTATAGATGGAGAGAACGGAAAGAAGCCGAGGGGTTGCAGTGTTGTGAGCTGGAGCCCCAACTTCAGGGTTAGATCATTGCAAATTGGTTTAAAGGCACCGGGACACTCCTGCCTCCATAAACACTTATATGAAATTTAATTGTTATGGTGGTTCCTTCAACAAGGATGTTAACTGGGGTAGTTTAGGGAATAGCATTCTCAAAATTGTAACATTGAGTGCTGGGTGAGACATGCAGTTCTAAACTGGTAAAACAAAACTGACCCCTAAACGGTGGTGTATTTTGGATTGGTGCTGCCCTAGGCATGACAGATCTCAGACATCCCTAATTTAAATTTACCAGCCCCTTCCTGCCAAGGCCATACCTCTTCCTGTTAACTAATACACATTTTGACTGACAGACACACACTGACACATACACTCACGGACCAACACACACTCTCAGATACACTGACACACACTCAATGATTTGACACAGCCTGACAGACACATGCAGTGTTCAGACACACACTGACAGACGCATACACGCACTGACAGACACACATAAGCACTGACAGATGCGCACACTCACTGACAGACACACACAATCACTCACACACACTCACAGATACTCACTGATAGATATACACACACATTCACACAGACACAAACTCATGGACAGACACACAAACTCACTGACACGCACACATACACTCACTCACATTCACTGACACACCCACACACACACACATTTCCCCCCAACACTCACAATTATTATTATTTTTTTTTAATTTAAATCCACCCAGCCTCCCTAATTTTAGAATAGCTGGGTGGATTATTTTTACCTGAAGGCCAAATATAATCATTCAGATACACTGACACACACTCACTGATTTGACACAGCCTGACAGACACATGCAGTGTTCAGACACGCACTGATATATATTTTTTATATATATATATATTTTTTTTAAATTCTTTATTTTAGTTGTGCATAAGAAATATCAAGAGGACAAAGACATTCTTAAATTATGCATGTCCAATATAGCTTAGGTATGTCTAGCAGTATGCACATTTGTTTTTTGTTTTTTTTCAACGTTTAACAATTATATACAAGGTCAACATGTTAGACATTCTGTAGACAAATATATAGGAGTCGTGAAACACAGAGAAACATTGTCGTGTGAGTGATTCATGGAGTTTGGGTAGGTAACCTGTGTCAGCTTATGTGATGGTGTTGGTTCCCAGTTTGGGTTGTGGTTTGTCAGTGTGGCCTGTGTGCATGGGCTGTTTCAGCGGTAGCTGATATGCGTGGTACCCCTAACCCAGGGGGTTGCGGGGGGGGGGGGAGGAGGGGTGTGGCCCCATTGACTCTCTGGTGTTGTGTTCAGTGTGTCGGTTGGAGTGTGGTTTGCTTATAGTCAGGATAGGGGTGTGAAAACATAAAGAAAAAGAAAAATACATATAAAATATAAAAATATAAAAAAAAATATATATATTTAATTCTAATAACTGCGTTGCGTCCGAGTACGAGGTTTCCCTCGTATATCAATGTCCTCTCCAGGTGGGTCGAGGCCAGAGCCTTCCAATGTGGGCTAGATTGTGTAGCCATAGGTGCCGGTTTGGGCTGTCACTGTACGGGTGGTGGTGTCCGTCTGGTGCGTGGGACAAAGGGGATGATGGTGGCCGGGTCTCTGGCACTCTCAGGAAGCGTATGATTATCGGTTGGAATGGGTAGTCCCAATTTTCTCAAAAAAGAGGCTGCGTCGGCCATGGTGTGGAGGACATGCGTAGTTCCTTCCGCGGTGACCGTTAAGGAGTTGTCGGTTCCCCATCTGTATGGCAGTCCTGCCGTGCGTAGTTGGGATGTTACCGGTGCGTAGGTTTTCCTCCATAGCAGTGTTGCTTTAGTGAGGTCTTGGAAGAAGTTCAAGGTGTCATTCTCAAATAAAAGAGGGGTTTTGCCCTTCACGGCTGACATGACATGTATTTTGTCTTGTACTGAGTGGAAGCGCAGGATGACATCCCGGTTCAGGTTGGTATTAGTGTTGGTGGTATTGGGGATGCGATATAAACTGTCCACTGTGATTTTGCGGGCCAGCGTGGGAGGTAATATAGATGTCAAGAGGCGTCGGGTGTAGTGGGGAAGTTCCTCCGCGGATATTGCCGTAGGGATACCCCTTATTTTGATGTTTGCGCGGCGTTGTCTATCCTCTAGTATTATGAGTTTTGCGTTCAGGGTAGTCTGGTGCGTTTGTAATTGGTGGATAGAGTCCTGCATGGTTTGCATGGCAGATTGTGTATCTGCTATAGCCCCCTCTGTGGCCTTGACTCTCTCTGTTACGGCCTGTAGCTGTGTTGTAAATACAGCTAAATCTGCAGCCAGGAGCTTGTGGATATCAGCTAATAAAACCTTCAGGTCTCCCCTAGTTGTTGGGGCTGATTCATCCAGAGGGTCCGCTTGTGCGGGTCTTACCACCTGGGGGTGATGTGGTACCTCCATCTCGTGGCGGTCCGGTTCTGGTTCTGTGTCCGGTTGGTCTACGGCCTGAGTGTGTTTGGGTTTCTGGAGTAGAGCCCCAATGTCCCTGGTATCCGACCCTGTGGTGGGTCTCTGTGATTTACGGCCCATGGTGAGTGTGGTGGGCGATGTTTGTGATGGGGACGCCCTCGGCCGTTCCGCAGGGTCTCCGCCAAACAGTGACGCGAGGCTGGGGATTTGGAGAGGGTGGTAGGCCTCGGTTTTCCGTCGCCGCTTAGGCTGTTTTTGCGGCTGTAAGAAGGGCATCGACGCGTGCAGCTCGGGTAGCAGAGTCCGATTTTATGCTTTTGGAGGCTGGATGGGCTCGTGTTCCGCTGATATCGGGCAGATTTGAGGTTTGTTTGCAGGAGCTCCAGAAAATGGCGTCTGTCTCGGTCTGCGTGCTAGCCCCGCCCCCATATTTTTTATATTTTGTATGCATTTTTCCTTTTTCTTTTTACAGTTTATTTTTTTTGAACAAATTATTTTTTTAATCTGTTTTCATCATATACATTTTTTCAATACAATTTCTCCTGCCAGAAGATACCCAAAGTTGACTATAAATAGGGGTCTCAACCATACAGTGCGGTTGTGCACTATCACTACTGACACAGTCTGACTCAATTGGGGTTAATTTATTAATGTGTGGTGTATCACTGAAAATTTAATTGGTTGTGATCGGATAGGTCATATGTAATAGGTTATTTACAACACATCTCATATTGCCTTGATTGTATATCTCATATTGATTTAAAATAATCATCCATTGGAAATAGGCAATTCATTAAAAAGATTTTTTTTCTTTCTAACAAATCATTTGAGTGCGGTATCATATGTTTGTGTAAGTGTGGGCTACCTTGATACCTAGCACCATTACACCCTGTTCCAAATTATTATGCAAATTATATTTCTCATTTATCTAAATAATTGATGTAAATAACAGTCAGCATAATTCTCATGTTATCAACTATTAAGAGTACAATTCAAATTTTATTAAACAAACCTCCTAATGATAACAGTATTTTGTTTTAAACATAAAAAACTTACAATGCAAATTATTATGCACAGTAAGTTTTAAAGCACTTTATAGGTTGTAAAGAACTGAAAATTGTCATTTGTTGTGTTTGCAGCATATTTACTGAAATCAAAAGCTATTTCAATCAAACTTATAACAACATTTTAACTTTTTAAACATTTTAACAGGCATATTTCTTCCTTCTGTACCAGGGAAGAAAGTGGTCAGTCAGAAACTCCACATACTTTGCAGTGGTCATCTTTACACCTTCCGAAACCCTAAAGAGGCCGACCAGCTCTCTTCCTATGATTCTGGCCCAAAACATGACTCCACCACTGCCTTGCTGACGTCGCAGCCTTGTTGGAACAGAGTGGCCATCCACCAACCATCCACTACTCCATCCATCTGGACCACCCAGGGTTGCACGGCACTCATCAGTGAACAGGACTGTTTGAAAATTAGTCTTCATGTATTTTTCTGCAAAATGCAGCCGTTTCTGCTTGTGAGCATTGGTTAGTGGTGGCTGAATAGAAGGTTTATGCACAGTTGCAAGACTCTGGAGGACTCTACACCTTGATGTCCGTGGGACTCCAGAGGCACAAGCAGCTTCAAATATCTGTTTGTTGCTATGTAATGGTATTTTAGCAGCTACTCTCTTGATCCGATGCATGGATCTGGCAGAATCTTCCTCAATGTGCCTTTATCTGCACGAACCCGTCTGTGCTCTGAATCAGCCACAAATCTCTTAATAGTGCGATGATCACGCTTAAGTTTTCGTGAATAATATCTTATGTTTTCATAACTTGTCCAAGGCATTGAACTATTTCACTCTTTTCGGCAGCAGAGAGATCCTTTTTCTTCCCCATATTGCATGAAAACGGTGCTCTGCTTAATAATGTGGAACACTCTCCTTTAGTAGTTTTTCCTTAAATTGGGCTCACCTGGCAATCTAATTATCACAGGTGTCCGAGATTGTTTTCAGTGATCAAAAGAGCCCTGAGACACAATGCCACCCATGAGTTAAACTGAAAAACAAAATATTTAATCTTTGTGACACTTAAATAGAATTTGCATAATAATTTGGAACAGGGTGTATAGATAGAAGAGTGCTTGTACATATCCAAATTTTTGTAGATAGAACCACTTAGTCTTGAGCTAGCCTTGAATAAATGCAATAAGGCAAATGAGAAACTTATGAGAAGATCCTGAGAAGCTCTGCTTAAACATTACCTGGTATGCCCAGCATTGTAAACATGGATGGACTTGCCCATATAGAAATATTTTAATAATAATAATAAGTACGGCCACAGAGTATAGGTGAGGTAGAGTCACTATCTATATGTCCAATGTTTTCTATAGCACTTCTCAATAATACAGTAAAATTATTTGACATAAGGTAATGTAATGGACAGTCAAAAATTGTCTGACTCTCTGTCTTATAGCCAAAATTAGCTGTTATGGAAAAAATAACCCAACTCACATATAGCCACACCTTGGCTATTTTAGCCCAAATTTAGCAATTTGTATTTTAATTCACAAAAATTTTGAGTTTTGTGAATAACCTTGCCTGTCTCAACCATACAGTGTGGTTGTGCACTTTCACTACTGACACAGTCTGACTCAATTGGGGTTAATTTATTAATGTGTGCCAAACATCGGCCCTTAATCTACAACTTGAAAGAATGTAGTCAGGATTTAAGAATAAACAAAATAACGTCTTTATTTTAAACAGATGTGAAACAGCAAACAATCTTATAGTTCCATTACCGGACGTTTCCCAAGACATTAAGGTAATGGGGCTGAAACATTGATATTTCTGCTTAAAGGACCACTATAGTGCCAGGAAAACATACTCGTTTTCCTGGCACTATAGTGCCCTGAGGGTGCCCCCACCCTCAGGGAACCCCTCCCGCCCGGCTCTGGAAGGGGGAAAGGGGATTAAACTTACCTTTTTCCAGCGCTGGGCGGGGAGCTCTCCTCCTCCGATCCTCCTCCGGCCAATGCTGACGCGGCAAGAGCTTGCGCCGCAAGCCGTCGTTCATAGGAAAGCATTTACAATGCTTTCCTATGACGCTGCGCTCTCACTGTGATTTTCACAGTGAGAAGCACGCAAGCGCCTCTAGTGGCTGTCAATGAGACAGCCACTAGAGGATTAGGGGGAAGGCTTAACCCATTCATAATTATAGCAGTTTCTCTGAAACTGCTATAATTATGAAAAAATGGGTTAACCCTAGAAGGACCTGGCACCCAGACCACTTCATTAAGCTGAAGTGGTCTGGGTGCCTAGAGTGGTCCTTTAAAAGCAAGCAATTCTTTTGTTAATCTTGAAGTCCTATGAGTACACTATTTCACATTAGAGAAATCATTTCCAATGTAATTTTTTTCCCTCACCTGTATATCTGTACTATAATAAAACAATGCACTATAGGATTGCTATTAAAATGTTTCTAGGGTTGCTCTTTATTCCCAGCCTGGCCCTGTTCCTGAACCAAAGTGTACACAACTCAAAGTCTACCACAACTAAAAAATGTGAATACCTACTAAAATTTAAATGCAAAGATTAGGGGCATAAACCAGAACCAATAAAAACAATTTACCGCAATATACTCAAAATAATCTGACAACCATTAGAACAGAATCTCTCCAACTGCGTCTCAAAGACTCATCCTGCGGAGAAGGTAATGCTTTTTCAATGGCGTGGAAAATTCTCCAGAAAACTAAAAATCAAACCTGTAGAGAAAGTAATGCCTTTGCAATGACATGGAAAAAATCTTCAGAAAACAAAAAATCAAGGAATTCATGTATGACAAAATGTACTTTGTAGCATATTTGGCGCTAAAATACAATTGGTGCAAAATCAAATGTCCATGCACTGATAAGATCAGAATGCTGGACAGATATTGGAGAATTAGACAAACACTGATCAGCCACAACCTTAAAACCACCTGCCTAATATGTAGATCCCTTTCGTGTTGCCAAAACAGCTCTGATGCGTTGAGGCATGGACTCCACAAGACCTTTGTATGTGTTCTGTTGTATCTGGCACCAAGACATTGGCAACAAATCCTTTTAGTTCAGCAAGTAAGATGAGGCCTCCATAGATCAGATTTGTTGATTTAGTGCATCCCACTGATGTTCCATTGGATTGAGATCTGGGGAATTTGAAGACCATGGCTACACCTTGAACATGTTCATGAACATGTTCCTAAAGCAATTCCTTAACAATTTGTGCAGTGTGGCAGGATGCATTATGCTGCTGAAAAAGGCTACTGCCATCAGTGAACACCAATGAAATTAAGGGGTGTACATGGTCTGCAACAATCACTATGTAGGTGGTATGTGTCAGAGTAACATCAACATGAATGCCAGGATCCAAGGGTTCACAGCAAAAGGTTTGTTTAATTTTTCTGTTTGTGAAAAATTTATTGTTTTATTGTTATTTTATTTATTCATCTGGAGCATTAATGAAAAGGAACTTCTTACTTTCTGTGAAAACAAATTACACTGCACTGACTGGCAGAATTTCTGAGTGTGCTACTGCATGGGGCACAATAGCAATTAGGGGCCACAACCACTCAAGCAAATTGCACGAATTGTGCATTTCAGGGCTCACTGCCTGGAAATCTTAAAGGACCACTCTAGGCACCCAGACCACTTCAGCTTAATGAAGTGATCTGGATGCCAGGTTCAGCTAGGGTTAACCCATTTTTTTTATAAATGTTTACAGATCGGTTAATCCTTCCTCCAAAGCCTATAAAAATCACAGTGAGAGCACGCAAGCGTCCATAGGAAAGCATTGTAAATGCTTTCCTGTGAGACCGGCTGAATGCGCGCGCATTCAGCCGAATGGGAGGATCGGAGGAGGAGATCTCCCCGCCCAGCGCTGGAAAAAGGTAAGTTTTTACCCCTTTCCTCTCCCCAGAGCCAGGCGGGAGGGGGACCCTGAGGGTGGGGGCACCCTCAGGGCACTATAGTGGTCCTTTAAGCAGTAACAATTGTTGTAAATTTCAAGGGAATTCATTAATTCTGCTCTGACAGTAGTCTGACAGGGGGGTTATTCTATAAAGTGAGAATCCAAAATAAAATTCTAATTTAAGGCCATAATAGCCTAACTGAAAGGACAGCTGACTTAGAGAATTAATTTCCTGTTTGTCTATTTTCACCCTAATTTAAAAAGGTAAAACTATTAAATAATCATGTGAGTCTCTTCTCTCTCTCACCTAATACACAGGATTCCTCAAAGCACAAGGTATATGAAACCTCTGCAATATGACATGATACTAAAAAAGGGGATGGGAATCAAAGGGTAGCTCTGTTACAGTAGGCTGCAACTAATTTTGTAAGACATAAAATATTTCAATGATTTATGAGTTACACAAAGTAAACGGTGTGTTTTCAGTAGTCAGATACCCTTACGTGGAAGATAAAAGTATTCTATGCTACATCTACTTGTCCACAAGCAACCATTAAGTGATGGCGAGGAGTCCTTAAAAATGCACTGTAAATATATAATAGATACTAGATCCTAATATATACACATGTACTGTACCACAGGTTCTATGGCATCTTCACCTATAAAGCATGCAATGTGGTATTTCTTACCAAGTGTACAAAAAATAATCCTATAACACACTATGTGGGTGAAATTCCTAAATCACATCACATTACCGTATGGTGTGATAGCCTGTACAACCGGCACGCAAGACTTGCTGATTTCCTCTGAAAGTGTGAAGGACATTTTGACATTTTACATCTCTGGAGGCTGGCTACACAAATTTTATAGGTTACATCTCACATTCTTACTGATGGTAATCAGAGACATTGCTTTATAGCTGTTTGCATCTTCAGTGAATTGTGAATTGTGCGTCTGTATTTAAAGAGGACCTGTCATGTCCATAGTTTTGTTAGCACTTTTAAAAATTCTTCAAATTCTGTCTATACATTGTGCTAGCAGTAGCAGCAATAGTTTTTTCTCCCATCTGTCTCTTAATTTTATTAAAGGACACGGAGGCTCCTATAATGCTTTTTCTCTTTCTTTACTCCTCAGCAGCAAAAGAAAGGATATTGTAGATATTGAATATAACATATTAACCAATGAGAGTGTTCCTAGCATAATAATGTCCCATTTGACCTTAAGCCACTCCTCTTTCTTTTGCTGCTGCCTCCTCATCTAAGTACAATTTTTCTTCTCCTGTCATAATTTGGAAAATTGTGTGTGTAATTTTCACTGTTTGGGTTAACTACCCTTTATTACCTTTTAGTTAATCCATTTTTATTCCATTCTTATTTCATTATTTCAGTTTATTTTATACATGTCTTCTTAACTGTGTTTAGGAAACTGTTCTGCCTTGGTATTTCCCTCTCTCCCTTTTCCCCCTCCCCCCTCTGTCAGGTCGGTTTGTTTATTTTCCTACCGTTCTCCTTCCTTGCCTTATTTGATTGCCTCACACCTGAGGCTCCCCTCTCATGCTGGGTACCATTCCTTTCCGCAGTCCCGGCGGATCGCGGCACTAGCCGTGGCTAGTGCAGCTCGTGCATGCACACATCGCGAGTGCGCATCGCGGCGGCCACATTATGATTGGCGATTTTGCCACGAGGCCAATACAGCTCGCCTGGGGGTGGGGGTAGTCTGTTGTTACTAGGCAAGTCACCGGTTCTCCCCAGGACCTTATTCCTGAGGGAACACTCGGTGAGCTTGCTCTATTGATTTATTTGTGCCTAGTTGTTGTTACTTACATTGGTGCCTGTAAAACTGTTCTTGCACTGTCTATTCAGCCTGCTATACTGTAAAACTCCCTAGTACAGCTAGTAGTGCCCAATTTGAGCATATAAAAAATTTTCTGCCTGTCATTTAATCCCATTTTTTTCTGACCATGCAATCAAATAGAATGTTTGATATTTCTGGCTCTGCCACCAATGCCACCATAACCCCTGACCCCCTTCCTGAGTCCAAAACTCCCACAGCCATTGAAGTGTCACAGGAGCAAACAGACTCTGTGGAGTTACATTCCCTCCTGGACGCTGCTATGACGAAGTCCGTGACACAGGCCATATTTAATGCTATGGGGGCCATGTCAGACAATATCTCATGTTCAATTACCATGGCACTGAAATCCACTCAGCTACCACCAACTCCCACTACTAACCCCCCAGAGAATAAACCGGTGGCCCCTAGTGGGCGTAAAGCCACAAAAAAAGT